CAAACCTGCAGACTAAGCGAATTTCCATTAACCTGATTGGATTTACACTAAAATGCCTCCATAAAAATAGCACATTTATTTCCTATTTAAATAGAATTAGTTTAACGAGTACTTAGGTTTGCTGCAACAGGGAGGGTAAAAAAGATTTTTTTTATAAAATGATAATAGTTTAGTAAGAAATAAAAGTATTTTCCAAAATCGATCAAAATATGTTCATAAAGAAGCAAACTACAACAGTTGACTTATTCTCCATAAGAATGACATGGGAATTTTAAAATAACATTTTTTTTTAATTTTCTCCGTAACAATTAGGCGCATAATAACGCTTCAATATACTAAATTATTTGTTTTTTTAAGCTCTACAAAATGGTTTAAAAATAAATTGTGAAATTTCGTGTTTTTATGGTCAAAAATGGGAAAAACCTATTTTTACCCCATAAAACCCCCCATAAACCCCCGTTCCTATAGTCCGATCATGCTGGTTCGCGAACTCATTCAAGTTTATCCCACCTTACACCTTCAAACCAAATTTTATCAGAATCGGACAAAAATTACTCAAGTTATCGTGCGGATGGACACATATATATATATATATATATATATATCTCTATATATATATATATTTTTTTTTTTTTTCAGGGTGAGGAGGGAAAATGCTTTTACGCACACAGGTAGCCAGCCTGTAGTGTGAGACTCCTGAGTTTATCACAGACTACTCACTAAAAAACCCCCTCTACTCTGTCGGACACAGACCTGGAATTGTTTGTCACATTACTTCAAGTCAGGCCAACATGTGACCTAAGCCCACAGGGCTCGCACCGTTTCTGGCATTATTTATTTTTTGACCTACACCGCATCCCGGTCGAGGTCAAGCTTCTTGGCGCGGAGAACACCCTGGATGTAAAGTGACACACAGGTCCAATTGTCCTCACCCTCCATCATCATCGGTATGACTGTGTCCACCGACAGCAGTCCTACGAACTGTTGAGCCTCTAGGCGGGGCCTTTCCCAATGCTGGCAGTGGAAGAAAGTGTGTTCACGTCATCGGGAATGCCTGGGCAGTATATGCAATCGGGTGACACGGCTTTGCCCATCCTGAACAGGTACGACCGGAAAAAGCCGTGACCCGTCAGAAATTGGGTGAGGTAGAAGTTCACCTCTCCGCACCGCCGATTAACCCAAGGTTGGACCTGTTGTATCAGTCGCCTGGTCCAGAGCCCCCTTGTCTCCTGTTCCCAGCTCTCCTGCCACAGCTGGAAGGTCCGGGTGCGTTCCTCAATTCTTGCCTGGTCCTCCCCACGGCGCTGATAAATTGCCTTCCTCTCCGCCGCCAAAAGTTTGACGGGGATGACTCCAGCAACCACCAGGACGGCGGGTTCGGACACTGTTCGATAGGCAGATGCTACCCTTAGTGCTGCCTGACGCTGCACTCGGGCGAGCCGCATCCTATATATCTCCTTATTGAGAGCGTCTGCCCAGACTTCCGCACCGTACAGGAGCACGGACTGGACCGCAGACATCAACAGCCTTCTGCGGCTGGACCGCGGACCTCCGACATTGGCCATTAACCGACTAAGGGAAGAAACCATTTTAGCGGCCTTGTCCGCCGTACGGGTGATCTGGTCTCGCCAGCTGAGCTTGCTGTCCACCATGACCCCAAGGTACTTTGCGGCACGAGTGGTTTGGACTTCAACGTTCCCCACCATCAAAGGCACGATGGTGTCAATCCTCTTTTTAGTCAGAATCACAATCTCAGTTTTGCTCAGAGCGAGCGAGAGACCATGTTCTGCCATCCATGCGTTAATGGTTCGCATGACTCGATTTAGTTTCAGCTGGGCAAGCTCAATGCTACGTGCAGCTATTAAAGCCGCAACGTCATCTGCATACCCAACTAGGACAGTTTCCTCAGGCATCTCGGATCTCAAGAGGCTGTCGTAGGCGACGTTCCAGAGGTCCGGGCCCAGTATGGATCCTTGAGCAGCACCAGAAGTTACATCCATCGTCCTGGAGCCTTCTGAAGTGTCGTAAATGATGAGGCGGTACCGGAGGTAGTCCTCTATCATGCGCATGAGGTATGCCGGGACGTGGAAAGTGTTCTCCAGTGCGTCCAGCATATCGCACCACCTCGCGGAATTAAATGCGTTTCGCACATCAAGTGTTACAAGCAGCACAACCCGACGAGAATAGTTGTTAAACTCCTCAGCTCTCATTACGGCTCGCTTTACCTCTTCAATAGCGTCAACCGTTGACCGTCCCTTCCTGAAGCCGTACTGACGAGGGGATAGATTTCCTGCAGCAACCACGGCTGAATTCAGTCGGAAACGGATCAACTTTTCCAAGACTTTCCCAGCAGTGTCCAACATACAGAGAGGTCTGTAAGAGGAGGGTAGGTCTGGGTTTCCTTTTCCCTTCCCCACGAGCACAAGCCTAGCTGTTTTCCAGCAGAAGGGAAACTTCCCCTCGGCCAGACAGGCATTGTACGTGCTCAAAAGGATTTGTGGATTTATTGAAAAGACTTTCTTCAGGGCCTCACCAGGTACCCCATCAGGTCCAGGAGCCTTGTTGTTCTTCAGGGATAGAACGGCCGCCTCCAACTCCTCGAGACTGAAAAGCGGTACGTCGTCCACCCTTCCGAACTCCCGCAATGGGCGCAGTGTGTGAGTCGGGAAAAGGGACTTTACAATCCTCTCCATAGAGGCCCCGTCCATAACGGAAGGTAGAGAGCGGGGGCCAAGCTTCTTGGTTACTATCTTGTAACCCAGGCCCCACGGATCGGAATCGACATCGTCCCTTAATTTCTCCCAGCAACTGCGTTTGCTCCGGTTAATGGCCCGGCGAAGAGACTTCCTAGCCACCTTGTAAGCGTCAGACTTAAGACGTCTATCTTCAGGTTCTCTGGCCCTGGTAGCAAGACGTCTGGCTCTCAATGCTGCCCGTCGCAGTTCTGCGATCTCGGTTGTCCACCAGTACACAGGTCGCTTATCGCACCGGGATCTCCTGCAAGGCATTGACTCTTCGCAGGCCGAGACTATCAGCCTCATCAATGATGTAACTGATGTCTCTGCGTGAGCCACGCCAGATGCAGCAGGTACCACTGGCTCTCCCCGTAGTATGACTTCGGTGAATTTGGCCACGTCCAGCTTTTTGGTGTTCCACCGAACGGGCACCTGCCGAGACACGGTAGCTTGTCTCTGATGACTATCCATGACATCAAAAATGATGATCTATATATAGATATATAAAAATTTGAACGAATGGTGTTTTTGGCCTCTAGGGACATCAAAATGAAAAAGTAAATCGGTCCCGGGCTTAGGTCTTACCATGAGACCTACGGTAATAGCTACTTCCCTATAGGGAAATTCGCTAAAAGGTGAATGTATTTAACTGAAATCTTTGCTTTTTGCATCTTAATTAACTAAAAAATCAATATAAGATTTTCTATTTGTCTGATTAGTAGTAGATATTGAGCACCGCAACAGAGGTAGAAAATATGTACCAATAAATGGCCTAAAGTGCTGTATGGAACATCATCCGTGCAAGGGGCTCTCCTACATTGTTGGTCATTATATTATTCAAAAGCTGTGCAAAGTCATGGACGAGCATTCTAGGTTCTTCTGTTCTTCTAACCGGAATTCTTGGTGTTCATCACTATATAAGAGCAACTTTAGTGTTGTGAAACACATTGTTGTTAGGCTAAACATCACACACTTTCACTAGCCACATGTTTTGCATATTGTAACTGCGAAACCTGAATGCTTAGGAAAGCTGTTCATTTATTGGCAATTTTTTAGACCCCTGGTTAGTAAGATTTTGGTGGATGTTCTTTTAAATGGACTTTGCCTGGATATCAACGTTAATAACCCAGGGTGAGTTTACAAACTACGTGTAAGCTATACCTACATAACTCTCAGAGTTACTATAGCTTACTTAACTATGAGCTTATAAAATATATGGAGGTGGAGGGCCTCCTACTTTGCTTCATGAACTAACATGGAAATTTTTTTAACTATTGCCATGTCTTAGCCCCTGTAGTGCAACAGTGACTATCGAGGAACAATTGTGATTTAAATGGTAGTTTGTTAAGTTCCGTTTTTTAAATTGATGTAATTAATGTAATTAACTCTGATACAAACTAGGGTAAACTATTTATGTTACATTATGAGTGACTTACCATTAGGAATGTGAAGCAAACCGCATACTGACCTTCTCAATTAGTACCAACGTAGCAGTTCACTAGTAAAGAGATTTACCTGTTCCAGTTGGTTCCAGTCTACCAGTCCCCAGTTTCTTACTAACCATTTTGTATAGTAGCTTTGAAACTGGCTGTGTGTAATGGATGTCCTGTTTGCAAAAGTCCTCATGAGATTTTGCCCTAGTTTATTCTACTTATATGTTCTATCTCCATGTAGGTGAACTGGTGAACAGTAATTATGTTTGTCAGATTAATATTCAGGATCATGAGTTTTCAGTAAAACGTTTGTGCTGTAGCTCTCCCAGTGTCCTTTGTCCTTCGCTAAAATTATAGAACCTAAAGTTTTTACCCACAAAGACTCTACATCCAATACCCCACAAAAACGCCTCCCTTAAGAGACTAGTCAATAGAACTTAATAAACCACCACTACCAAAATGGTTGCCAGTTTATGAAAATCTACTTTCTTCACAAAATAATTGGACTTCTTAAAAAGGTTATTCCCACTATTGAATTCTTTTTATCAATTATTTTTGAGCTGTTATTTTATAAAAAAATAATTACAAAAAAAATTATACAAAAAATTTTATTGGACTTCTTAAAAAGGTTATTCCCACTATTGAATTCTTTTTCCAATTATTTTTGAGCTGTTATTTTATACAAAACCATCGTTTTGCATTAGATAGGTACTAGCATTCCAAGAAATTTGATGGTATGTGGAACAAACCTCTCTAAAAAGCTGTGGACTTCAACAAAAGAGAAACTTTTATTCCAAGGGAATTTCATCATGAAATATCGTATTCGGTGGGTAGAATATTATATTTAACAGCAATAAATAGTAACTAAAGCATACACATAACAATGAAACTTAACAATAACAATATACACAGTTAACATTAAACTAGGAGATGAGCAGTCAGCCGACATTGAAGGTTTGCTCGGGAGGACCGGGTCGTGTGTTCTTGAGCAACCAAGGTATGTAGGGTGTGAGAGGAGTGTAGACCATCAGACCCACCCCCGCTCCAGTCTCTACACCCGCTAAGACACCCCCGTCACAGAACAGTGGGGCCCCTGAGCCTCTAGATGATGGGTCCTGCAATCAATAAACACATCTTGTATAACAGCTCCTTGTATGTGATTATACTTGTGTACAGTTAGCAGCGCTGGTCAAGTAGACAAGAAAGTTGCTGCTTACAAAAAAGGATCAGTAAATTCTTGAGCACTGTTAAAAGTTCAATTTTACATAAAGCTCTCAAGGAAGGTGCTGACAAGTTATAAATAAATGAATAAAAAAGACATTTCAAACGTTGCCTTTGAAAAAACTCTGTAAAATGTTCTGTTATTAGTTTATGGCACCTATATTAAGCCTGCTACACATGGTCAGTTTGGTGTGTTCTCATCGAAATGACACAAGAAACGAAGAAACTGACCGTGTGTAGCGGGCATTAAACAGTATTGTGAATTTATTTGTAAGATTTTTCTGACTTATCCTTTAATGTTGTTGTTGCTTGTAGAGGGCCAAAAAAATCGATGTGACTCATATGTAGGTGTCAACAGTATTCCCATTATATTCTCACAAACTATGTACCAACTTCCAGGTCTTGTGGTCTAGTATACTAACCAAGTTTGATTTAGTGGGCTAAGGTCAGCAGGATCATACATACCTGACAGGTCACAAGGGACCGCTGAGTCTTGTTATAATGGATTTATTACCATGCAGACATTGCCAATTTTTATATCTGATAATAAACAAAGCAGCTTTCATTCTAGTTTACATAAGGTCTATGTATACCCAACCCCAACAAACATTTAGAACATATCTAACCTGAATTAACAGCGAATGATCCTGACACTAGCACTAGAATGAACATGAAATGATGTGAAGAAGCTCAAAGGGTTAGTTGAAAACTGTGAATGAATCAGCATGTCTTTGCCTGAAGTCTTGAAGGATTGGCAATTCCATAGTGAAAATCTTTGAGCAAGTTTTTTATTAGCGGACACGGGGTATACTTCTTCTACCAGATAAGTATGTAGATATAATTTTTGGCGTGTTGTAAGATGTTTTCATTTACAATCATACATCTACAACAAAATGACTCGACCTAGAAAAATTAATGACTTAACAAACACACTCACATAGAATCTTGGTTCCCAAAGAATATCACAGTTAAGAGTAATGTAGGAGTAGCCTATGTCGTCTGTCATCATGCGACTTGGACCATCACAGCTGTTCATTGTACTTTGAGATCTTGCCATCTCACAGTTTTCTGAAAAAAGTCATTACAGTATTTACTGTAACTTAACATTTTAGAATGTAATATATTGCTACTATAATTGACTTTCGGGTACCGTATCCGTTCCATCAATAGTAAGTATTAAGATCTGCAACAGTATATACATTTACATTGTGTATTATCAATGGTGATATTAGCGAATTTCCCTATAGGTAAGTAGCTATTACCGTAGGTGGCACGGTAAGACTTAGGCCCGGGACCGATTTACTTTTTCATTTTGATGCCCCCAGAGGCCAAAAACACCATTCGTTCAAATTTGTATTAATGTATTCAAAAATATGTCCGTGCACGGTAACTTGAGTAATTTTTGTCCGATTTTGAAGAAGTTTGCTTTAAAGGTGTAAGGAGGGATAAACTTAAATAATTTCGCAAACCAGCATGATCGGACCATGGGAACGGGGTTTTATGGGGGCTTTTATGGGATATAAAATGGTTTTCCTCATTTTTGACCCTCAAAACACAAAATTTCTCAATTTCCCTCTAGAACTTTTAAAAGGGCTTTACAAAAATAATTTAGTATATCAAACTGTTTTTGTACGGTTATTGGTAACGGAGAAAATTAAAAAATTGTAAATTTAAAATTCCCATGTTATTCTTATGGAGAATATTGTAAAATTAAGTAGTTTTCTTGTTGTATTGGATATATTTTGATCAAACTTGGCAATTGTATTTATTTTATACTAAGCTATTAATATTTTACAAAAAAATACATTTTATTAGTTTCCTTGTAGCAGCAAACCTAGGTTCTCATTAAACCTATATGTTTTTTAAATAGATTTAATTGAAATTCAATTCAGAGAAATGGAAATTCGCTTAGTCCGCAGGTTTGCTGCGGCGGGGGTATTTTTTAGGTAAGTATGACCACTATGTTTTTCCTTGCAGTCATACTTCTCATTAGGATGTGAAATGCAGCATGACAACTTTACAGGGGTTTACAACAAAAAATAGCCCACTGTAGTGAACCAGATGAAAAAGAAAATTTGTCTATAGCTATATTGAGTTTTTATACATACAGTTTCACAATAAAATACAATATGTGTGCTAAAATTTAAGACACAAGTAGTTAACATTGGCTCATTCATCATTTAGGTTGTCTACTACCTTTATTGGATACTCCCAAAGTTGACTTTTAAAAGCCGTCAAAGCTATTAATATATTTGTCAAAACTTTATTGAGATACTAGCAGAGTACCCGTCCTTCGTACGGGGTTGGCATATAAGTATAACATGCTTATTGCAGTTATACTCAAGCATTGCGTTTGCAATGGGGTAGCAGGACACATTTTGATTGTTTCTTTTAATTTACGGTATACGATAGTATTACACATCTACCATAACCATAATGTTCTATCACTTCACCTTAACAATAGAAAAATATATTACAAATTCGCAATATATTACAAATTATTCATGTAATTAAAAACATAAACATAACTGTAAACAATCCTACTTTAAAAGGCTTAGTTCAAATTAGCTGTTTTCATAAATGCAAAAACAAATTATAGTGCTGCACCCTGTTGATTAATCTTATAACTTTTAATGCTTTTGCATATCATATAACGGTACTTTCCTGTTAAAGGGAACATTCATTATTATCGATGATTTTTTTCGATATATCGATATTAACAAATTGAAACATATCAGCTGACAACTACGATAAATATTGTTCAGTATATGAAACTGTTCTAAAAAAAATAACCTAACATAACTAACCAAACTTGCTGTAACATTTAAAAATTCCGTGTTTAACTTGCCTTTTCTATTATCAAACCCAAACGGAAGTTTTAAATGGTACAGCAAGTTTGGTTGGTTGTGTTAGGTTAGCTTAGAATAGTTTCATTTCTTAATCCATATAGACTATTTTAGCCTAAACAAGATCAGTTAGTTGTTGTTGTCAATTTGTATAGATCTAATCGGAAAACAAAAATATCGATATATCGAAAAAAATCATCGATAATAATGAATGTTCCCTTTAACAGGAAAGTACCCATATAACCAACTTTTTTTATTCGAAACAGCTGACCAAATTCTTTAATTTTTTCTTTAAATATGAAAACTCATAAGGTTAACATGGGGAACTACAGAGCCACTGGGGCGGAGCCCGAAAGGATTTTTGAGATAAGAATAGGCCTATGCCTTGATGATGTGCCGGGATTATGAGCTATCATCATGCCAAATTTCAGCCCAATCCGTCCAGTAGTTTATGCGTGATTGAGCAACACACACACACACAAACTCACAAACTTTTAGATTTATAAAATTAGTAAGATAATAAACAAGTAATATTAAGCAGTTATTTAGTCACCACAAGAAGAACAATGACAACAACATTGGAAATTGTTTTACAAAATCTTTTTTTTTTATTGGTTCAAAAAGTAAAAGAAACAAAAAAAAGCCGTACCTGATTGGGCACAGAGCCGCAGAGGGGACGGAGCTAAAGGTTGAGATGTGACTGCAGAACAGTTGATCCCTGTGAACTCCTTGTCTGTCTCAGGTAGACAAGGGACACAACGTGACCACTCCACCATGGGAGTGTGGAGTTGCACTAAACCTGCAGCACAATGTTACATTTACTCACATACAGCTCCACAACAATAAATGTGGTATTGTGACTACAGAACAGTTGATCCCTGGGAACTCCTTGTCTGTCTCAGGTAGACAAGGGACACAACGTGACCACTCCACCATGGGAGTGTGGAGTTGCACTAAACCTGCAGCACAATGTCACATGTACTCACATACAGTAGTACCACAACAATACATGTGGTATTGTGACTACAGAACAGTTGATCCCTGGGAACTCCTTGGCTGTCTCAGGTAGACAGGTAGATAATTGCTGGTGTATAACTGGTGAAGCTTGTAATTTGTATTGCCTACTCAATCTTGAAAAATCATTTTGGAAATTGTGTCTTGTTGATTTCAGTATTAACATATTTTACAATTAATGTGACGCATTTAACTTTCTATACTATGTCCGAAGTCAGATGTACTCTGAAGTATTATTTCCAAATTACAAAATAACTATGAACCTCTAATATCGCAGGTTAAAGAGATTATCAATCAATCATTAGAATAAAATGAATAGTTAGTTTTAGAGACAGTGTAGTCTCATGATAAACAATGACAGTGACAATATCCTTGCTGCCGCACCTGAGGCAAAATATCCATAAGCCCGTAAAATAACTCGCTTGGACGCTCGACATATGAAGCAATCAAAGTAATTCATTTAAATATGAAAAATTCTTGAAACTGGTAAATATACAGTAATAAATAACATTTGATAGGAAATTTCTTTAAAGTCTACATTATAAGTTATATAACTATCAAATTAAATTTGAGCTATTGTGTTTCAAAAAATCTTTAGGGGACATACTTACCAATATTGTTGGGTTCCATTCCTTGCCCACTACTTCCAGAGTTTTCTGCGTAACTTTCGTGAACCACAATTGTCTTCACGTGTCCTTTTGACATCTCTGTTAGAGGAGAAACGATGACATTTGGCGTTCCAGCCCGGAATATCCTTAAACAAAAACACCAATTAATTAGAGTTGGATCATTTCTTTTTTAGATCAAAATAAAAATGTATTAAATGAACACCAAAATGAGTTCTTTACAAACACAAATTTTACGGCAACTAAAGTATGTTTCAACAAATTCATGACCATGCAATCAAATACCCTACAACATCTAGAGTCAATAAGAAAACTTACCTCAGAGCACATGAGGCTGAAGTAACAACCCAATCTAATGCATAAACCGATCCAAAACATAAAGTCTGATCGTTAGAGACAAATTTAACTTCCTGAGTGCATTTTCCATCAGTAACCTTGGCACAAGGGTCAGTGGACTCGGGTTGAGTCTGTATTTCAGATGGTTGAATGGCATTTGACAGGTGTAACTCAGGAAGCATGGTTGTTGCTGTAACTGATTGGCTTCCATCCGATTCTGTTGCATTTTTAGATGATTTTGTGTCATCAAATTCTGATCCAATATGCATCTGCGAGTCATGTTCCTTGACCATAACACCCAATTCCAATAGCTTTTCACCCCCTTCTGTTGTATTTTCTGAAGATTTGGTGTCACTTATGGCTTGTTCATTATGTACCTGTGAATCATTTTCTTTCACCATAATATCTGGTTCTAATTGATTTTCATCATCAACAATAGTAGAATTCGGGTCTTCATTTTGTGAAAGATCTATATTTTCCTGATATATATCATTCTCACTTAGCTTTAAATTGGTGGTTTCAGTTTCCTTGCTAATATTTGTTAAATTATCTTCACTCGATACTTTTTTCTTTGTATCTAATGTTGGTATAACAGGTGAGTTTAAGATATCTTCTACATTTTCTTTGCTACTAGGTATTGGGTCTTCTGGTGTCTCATTATGCTGGTCATCGGTTAGAGGATCTTCAGTTGGCAAAAGAGTTGTTTCTTGGGTAGGTAATTTTGAAACCATAGACGTAGACATGTGTGGGATTTCATCCTCCAAAGCACTAATGTTTTTCAGATTATCTGTAGTTTCCTGAGGATAAATAGGACTTTCTTCTTTATTATTGTAGATTGTGTCATTAGTATCTTGAGGACCTTCTTGAGCTGTTGTGTTTAAGGAATCGTCATCTAGTGTATTATCTTTGTTTGTTACACTCTCTTGTGGAACATTTCCTTTTTCTATGTTTGCATTGCTACTTTTACTATTTTCTTCTTTTACAGTACCGTTTAATATATCCAAGGAACTAACTGTATTTTCCTCTGGGTTCTTTTCAATTATATACTCCTCTATCTTCGGTGTTTGGTCATACGAAAACATCATAATAGAACTGTCATTTTCTGGTTCATTTGATTCCACTAATACCTTTGTACCATTTTTATCTTCCAGCACTCCTGGATCTTTATCTTTCTCATCATCATCATCTTCAGAAGAAATGTCTTGCCACATTTCTAAAGGTGAGTCTGCCACCATCTCTTCTTCCACTTCTTCTATTCCCCCTTCCTCTTCATCAGCCTCAGCTGATTCATGAATCTCAGAATCATCATTGTCATCAGAAATCGGCAAAGTCGCCTCTGTCACAGGTGATTTTTTCACAGAGTTTACACTTTGGGCTACTTTCTGCAACACTTGATCTATTTCATTTTCTAGTATGTTGAGGGTCGTGGTCCTTGCTGTCATGGGTTCTGGGTGTGTTGTCGCCATAGCGAGCGGAGGCTTGTAGCCAGTTCTGTTGGTGGCCCTGCAGCACACAAAGTGAGCGCTGGGGGTGAAGGCTGATTTGAGCCCCTCACAGTGCTGCCCTACCCCAGTGTCGGGTAGAAAATCCTCATCAAGAGTGCAATCCAGCCCCAACAAGCAGTAGCCTCCTCCTCCACCACAAGTCTTCACTCCAGAGATCACAAACAGTCCTGAAATTTAAAAAAAGTGTTAAATAAAATTAGTAGTGAGCTATTTATAAAGAACCAATTTGAAATACACCTAACTATGTATGGTTACAGATTTAAGTGAAGATTTAGAAGGGCAAAAGGGTAATGATGGTTAAATTGACATGGGTCCTTTTCATGCTTCAATGCAGTGATAATCGTTATTCTTTTAACTCTGGGTAATAGAGTAATAGAGTTAGACTATTTCATACTGTTGACTCCCTTTCTGTAACTTGCAGACTTAGGCTGATAAGGTCAGTGTTGAGAATTGATCATAGTTTTTCCTCCTTGAGAAATTAACCTCAATTTGTACTATCCAGCCATAGAATAAATAAACACCACTGGCTTATGATCCAGCTTAGAGAGAATGCCTCTCAAACAGCTCTATAAAAGTTCCTCCTAAGCTGGGAGCAAGGTAATGCAATGCTCTAAGGACCATTCCGCAAACTGGCCGGGATTTGTCTGAACAGTCACTACCAACAAAACACAAGCCTGGTAAGCATAGTTCGATGATTACCTGGATCAACTAGTGGAAAAATCTTGGGAGCCGCCAAGGTGAAAGGTAGCCATAGTAGCCATATCACGGTCATTCTGGTGTAACTGCAACAGAGAATTATTTTAACATCAAGCTATGTGATAAGTTCAAATCATAGACTAAGCAACACAAGTAGACTTCTTTTCCCATTGTAAACTTTGAAGCTTTTCATGATTTGTGCTTTACTGTTTGGTTATATAACTAGGAGACCCGTTATTTTTTATGGTTGGATCGTTTTATTTGGTTAAATGAGGGTTTAAATGGCTGAAATAACAAAAGAAACAAATTGTAAACAAAACACGACCTCTACAATGCGGTACAGAACTAACCATAAAATTGGCCTCAGCTGTTCCATAAGGATGACAAATCTACTAATGGAGTATGTTTTATCTATATGGTTCAAATATTTTCAAATCAGCTTCTCTGCTTCAAATTCCATTGAACAATGGACACTGGTTCACAGTTTCTTCTGCACTAATGAGATGATATAAGGTCTTTTGTTCTCCCATTAACATAAGATGAGATTAAGTTTCAGTCAGCAATAGCTATTGGCATGGTTTTAATTGGTTCCAGCAAAGATTTATGTATATATCTGGGAAGGAACATGAATACAGTAATTGGTTTGAATAAGTGACAGCGTTGACTGTTGGATATTGATGTAAACGTTGTTCTACACATAGATCAGCTTTACCATTTTTTATTAAAAAAGAACATATCAATTATTATAGTATCAACTATTTGAGATTGGGACATGCATAGATGCATATTTTAACCCAAATATGAGTGAAAGTGAAAGATGAGTGAAGAATGTTGTAAGATGATCTGTGTGTGTAGCTTTGCTACTGCCTAAGATCAGGTGATTCACTAGTCAGATCATTTACTTAAAACCCAATTATCAGGAACACCTGGGTCCAGTTGTTAACCATCAAAAAGCTACTGACTCTTCTCAGGATCGAGTGGCGACCTTTTAATTGTTGGGCAAGCTTTATAACCACTTGGCTACGGCTACCCAGCCAATTTGATACTTACTTACTTACCACATAATTGAATGAGCCACTTGCAGAGTATGCTTCAGTCTAAAATTATATTTTCTGGCTTAGATATTGTTACTAATATAGAGTTGATGTGTCGTTTAAGATGTCGCACCTTCCAATAAGGTTTCCTATCTGCATTATTTGGTTCTAAGTTTGACAGAAATCGGTAATTTGCATCAGCACAACCTGTCCGTGGCTCAATTGAACTTCATGAAGCAAGAGTTTTTATTGATTTCATGTACAATTTTATTGATTATAAATGCTTCAAATGTAAATGTTCGTGGGAAAACTCAAAGGTTAAATTACAACTGTATTATTTTTTTATATTTTATTAATGTGCCAAGCACACTAACTATTTTTTAACAATTTTTTATTGTACTTTGTCTATATAATTTTGACACACTGTGGCATCTGAAGATGTGCTGTTGGTTAGTAGTGGGCGTTTGAAGGCTGTTGTCATACAATAGGTTGTCAGTATTCAGACAGACACCGTTACCTGTTGGTGTGTGACTGGACTGGGTCAACAGGAGTAAAATCTCTCTCTCTATCTCTCTCTCATACACTCACACACACACACACACACACCTATACTAATTACATACATTTGCCTGTCCAAACTGGAATAGAGACTGCCTGTCTTGAACAATTTGAGACTTATTAAAAATCAATGTCTGTAACGGGCCAAGTAAGATTACAGCTCATTTGCAACTCTTACCTCACATAACTGTTACACTAAGTGTACCTGTTTGGCTAGTTCAACAAGCTATTGGGAGAATAATTTAGTTCTTCCCCATCTCTTTAGATGTTTAGTTTGTTTGAGGTACAAAAGAGGCCTGAGGCACAAGTATGTAAGATATAAAGTCAATGGTAATATTCAAACCTTAGGAATCAGCAGCTAAAAATATAAATATTGTATCTACAAAAGTTATATTATGTCTATTGCATGTCATATTATATATATATATATATATATATATATAAAAAACCAAGCTAAGTATTTAAGCAAATTGTGTTTTTGGTTTCTAAGGACTTACAACGTTACAACGTTACAATGGTCCTGCACTTAGATATGTACCGGTACCACAATGCTACCGGTACTTATCTACAGTGTTGTTTGGTAAAAGGTGAATACAAAAATAAGTAAGCTTGTTAGCATGGATACATTGTTGTGCAGCTTTAAAATTTAAGCACAAGCAGCAGAAATAGTTATAAGTTGTCTTTAAAATAAATCACTTTTATCATTTGATGGTGTAAAAATTGATACTATCATTTTTGGGGGGTCTAAGAATATGAGAAAGTTGTTTTGGGGGAAGTACTGGTACAGAGTATGGACATTGAATACGGATAATCAGGTACATCTACGTACGTACCAATGTAGATGGGACATAATCCTTTTGGCGGTAAGGTCAATCATAGTGGTGAGTCGAGACCGAAATCGACACATTGGAAAAGTGATATTAGCAACATCCGTGATTCTGTTACGATCACAACGACATGACATTGTAAAGATTAACTGAGATCTCATCGACATCCCCAATCACCCACTGCAGTTGTGATTTTTACTTCACACAACAGCTATAGAAACACTAGTGAATGATGAAAGCCTCGGTTTTAGGCTACTGGGGACAAATTTTGAAAAATGTCAGATTCCCAGTACTATACAAGACTGATTCACTGTCTTTTCTGACGGATATCTAAACTCAAGTACAGTAAATTTATGAACACGTAGAATCTTCGGTTTCCCGGTCAGGATGGTATCATTGACTATACACTATAGTCAATTATGGTATCTAGTCATTTTATTCCAATTGCATTACAGTCAGAAATGGGTACAGTTCTGCGGAGAAAACGCCATATATTATCTGCTTGTATATCGATATATAGCAGATTATATATATAATATGGTTAGATATATCGCTTTAATTTTTTTTTTTTTTTTTGAAAGATCAAACTATCTATCTATTATCTGTTTAAGTTTTTATAATGTGTTTAACATCGAATTGAGTAATTTAATGGTATGTATACATTTTAATTGAGGTTTAATGAAACCAACTTATCAATACCAGTAAGTTATTCACTCAAAAAGAAAAAAAATTTTTTTATTTAACAAAACAAACAATACGGTAACCAAAAACGTATTGATATGATTACCACATAGGGTTCGAAAATGTATAGTTTCTTCAATTTTTTGTAGTACAAATTTATGATAAAATCAAGGATAAAAAACAACTTATAGCCTATATATTCATATTTTATCTGATAATATATCACAGGTTCTATGTCAACGTTAACATATCAGTATAAGTTCTAAGAAAGAATCTTTATACAAAGAACTCTTTGTTAATATAGCGAATTTCCCATATAGGGAAAAAGCTATTACTGTAGGTCTCATGGTAAGACCTGGACCCGGGACCGATTTATTTTTTCGTTTTGAGGTCCCCAGAGGCCAGAAACACCATCCGTTGAAGTTTATATATATTATATTTATTTATATATGTGTCCGTTAGCACGATAACTCGAGCAAAAATGATCCGATTTTGATGAAATTTTGTTTAAAAGTGTAAACCTACATTTATTCAAACGAGTTCGCGAACCAGTATGATCGGACCATGGGAACGCGGGTTTATTGGGGGTTTTATGGGGGTAAAAATGGGGTTTTCCATTTTTGATCCTAAAAACACAAAATTTTGCAATTTCTTACCAAACCATTTTATAGAGCTTAAACAAAGAAATAATTTAGTATATTGAAGGGCAGTTGTAAAAAGTGTAAATTCAAAATTCCCCTGTTATATTTATGGAGAAAATGAAAACTGTTGTAGTTTACTATCTATGGATAAATGCTCATCAAATATTTGGCAAATTTATTTATTTCACCCTATGCTAATAACGTTTGTTCAAAAACACTTTTTACCTTACCCGTAGCAGCAAACCTAAGCACTCGTTAAATCTAATGTTATTTAAATTGGGAATAAATATGTCTTATTTATGGAAATATTTTAGTAAAAATATGTAATTAGACAAGTTGAAATTTGCTTATTCTGCAGGTTTGCTGCAGTGGGGGTATTTTTTTTATAGATGACATATCTTATTCTTATAAACATGATTGGTATCTGATGAATGACGTAGCCTATGCAGTAAATTAGGACATAATGTTTCAAAACTGGGCCTCATTTTATTTCTAAAGGAGTTGGGCCATGTTTGAATAACAAAATACATTCTCAGCAAGCTATTGAATACAGTGAAATGTATTCAATAGATACATGGTGGATGTATGTGTGTGTGTGTTGTTTGTATGTGTGTGTAGTGAAATGTATGTATGTGTGGTACTGTGTCCAGTGTATCATGATCGGTAATCTAGTTTTCTAAGAGTATGACGTGTAAATTTACATTTTGGCGTCACAGACACAATGAGGACAGACCAAAGACAAGCATATACAGGGTTTCGGCTTTTGGTTTTTTAAGCCATAAAACGTGATAATATAAAACTTCATGATTCTATGTAATGTGCAGACAAACCGGTAATTTCATTTATGTAGAAGTGTGCATTTGGAGCCAAGATCTTTTGGGGAAAGAACTTGCTGTTATTCTTTAATGACTTAAATGTTCATAATGTTTATACCGTTTCATAACCTTGTGAACAACTCTTAAATATTAGACTATAGCAATTGTATTTTAATCTACTTTTCTTTCTAATTTTATGTGAATAAAATCTGTAAAATTATACCCAAAGCTACAAAAAAATTGAAAAAAATGTGTTTGGTTAAAATAAAGCTAAGTGTTGTTTGGTTATTTATAATTTCTTAAAAGACACAGTTTCTGATACAGAATGGTTTATAGTTTAATTACTAGGCATGTAAATATTAGAATAATTACGTTTGCTACACAATGTAAAAATTGTCAAAAACGATAAATAAATAAATGTTTAAGTTTTTAATTTTTTGATCTAGTAGGTAGACATTATGGATAACAGACCAAACAAAAAAGAAAACAAAACATTGAATTAAACCGTGTTAACATAGTTTATGTTTACAAATAAACGTATTTCTTACATTACTTAGGTCATAAAACATCACTTCTTACCTTGGACTAGGAGCAAGAGACGGCAAGAGACTGGTGAAGAGCGGCACGGGATTCTCCGACTATCACCGACAACTACCGGCAACACCCGAACAATCGGCCGATGACAGCCGAACACACCCGACAATACACGAATTCCGCATTGTTGTGGCACGGCGCACCTTTCAAAGGTAGGGTGCTTTCCTCTGACCTGCATTTCAACAAATGCTCGTATGTCTGTTTTGCATTAGTTGGCATAATTCTTTACTTTCGTTATCCCCATTTCAAACAATGCCCCTTGCTAAGAGGAACACCGATTCGCAAGTTTTAGCTTTCCCTCTGGGTCGTTTTATGTTGTATATTTCAACATGGGTTCTATCTTTTTTGTCATCAATTTTCTCTTTGAACTATTTTACCTGTTTTACTAACAAAATAAAGTCGTAATACACGTATCATCAGCTTAGAAGTTTACTTTTACTTTATTATGCCATTATAACAGTAGTTAGAGTTAGGTAATAAAATTAATTATAAGGACGCAATTTAAAAAAATCTAATTCACGCTAACTAGAAAATTTTAAAAACTATTATGACATCCAGTTTTCGTACACGCAACTGTATTATTGACGTGACTGCTGCATTGACATTTATTATTTTAAATTCGCTAAACAACGTCCAAAAAATATCTATTTATTTGTGTGGTGTGTGTTTATTCTAAAGTACCAGAATTTGTTTTCTTAAACGTAGAGTATCAGAACAAGGGTGTAGAGTGTAGACTGATTAGAGGTGTAATATATACTGTAGCAGTAACTGGACTTGATGACCGCGGACTGGTTAGGATGCAGGAATCCCGCTCTTGTAACTCCAATACTGGACTGACAGGTCGTCGTCCTGACCTTAGCCTCAGCGTGACCGTGGCCGATACATGAGCTGAACAGTAGACAATTCACGAACTGAACAATAGACAATTCACGAACTGAACTGTAGACCATTCACAAACTGAACAGTAGACAATTCACGAACTGAACAGTAGACAATTCACGAACTGAGCAGTAGACAATGCACAAACTGAACAGTAGACAATTCACGAACTGAACAGTAGACAATTCACGAACTGAACATTAGACAATTCACGAACTGAACAGTAGACAATTCATGAACTGAACTGTAGTCAATTCATGAACTGAACTGTAGACAATTCACGAACTGAACAGTAGACAATTCACGAACTGAACTGTAGACAATTCAAGAACAGAACAGTAGACAATTCACGAACTGAGCTGTAGACAATTCACGAACTTAACAGTAGACAAATCGATTTACGGACTGAACACCAGACAATAAACAAACTGTACAGTACTACTCGCAGTAATTTCCTAAACAGCATACAATCAGAAAAGTGTTAAGAGGTAAACAAACAGTGCAAGCGGCTTTTACTATAGCCTAGCCTCCTCATCCTGGCACTGGCATGAGCTAGACACGGGCCATTTAGGCTATTGCCTATTAATTTTAACTGTATTTATGGTGTGTTCAATTTATGTCGATTTATTTCGTACTATTTTAGGTCAAACTATACACTACATGAATAGTTACAATTCAAAAACATACGACATATCTTCACCTTTATAAAATCCAAAAAACCGTAACTTCAAGCATTTTTAGTTCTCATTCCTTAGAAAAATTTTCGTGATTCGTGTTGGTGTTGGTTTTTTAGTATTTTACTGTACTAAATGGCTCTCAATTATTTCAAATTTGGGTTAGGTAGACATAATCATTTTATGTTTAATTTTCTGTTATAACATCAGAATACAAACATTAGTTTACACATTGTATAGATTATTGTAGGCATTTTTATTTAAATTAGTTGTTAATTCAGTGAAATTACAAAAAGAAGTAAGTTACGGTTCGCTCTAGTATAATACCCCTGCCGCAACAAACCTACCGACTAAGAGAATTTCCATTTGTCTGAATTTATGTTTAATTAAATCTATATAAATAACATTTAGGTTTAACGAATACCTAGGTTTGCTGCTGCAAGGAAACTAATACAGTGTGGTTTTTAGTAAAATATAATACCTTAGGCCTATAATAAAATAAATAAATTTGCCAAGTTTGATCAAAATATATCCATAAACAAGCAAACTACAACAATTTACAATATTCTCCATAAGAATACCATGGGAATTTTAGATTTACAATTTTTTTTAAATCTTCTCCATTACCAATAACCGCACAAAAAACTTTGATATACCTACTAAATTATTTGTTTTTTAAGCTCTTTAAAGGGAAATTGGGAAATTGTGTGTTTTGAGGGTCAAAAATTAGAAAACCCAATTTTTACCCCCATAAAACCCCGTTCCCATGGTCCGATCATGCTGGTTCGCGAACTCGTTCAAGTTTATCCCGCCTTGCACCTTTAAACCAAATTTCATCAAAATCGGACAAAAATTACTCGAGTTATCGCGTTCACGGACACACATAACTTAAAATTTACATATAAATTTGAACGGGCATGTGTTTTTGGCCTCTGGGGACATCAAAATGAAAAAGTAAATCGGTCCGCGGCGCAAGGCGTACGCCTCGGGTCCGCGGGCCTTAGGTCTTAAGAGTCTTCCTTAGTGGAAGCCATGTTGGATTTCTTCCCCATAAGAACAATGTTAAACATTACATCATTTGTGGACACGTAACGGCGTTATTTGTTAAGATATAGCTTTGAAATTTATAATTTGTATTTTTAACATAATAGACTCGTGACTGAGGTTTTTGAATTTCGAAAATCCATTTTCATTTCCTTTCAATAATTAGCTTAATTTTAAGCTAATTAATAATCAATTATTCTTAATAAAAACTAAAAATTGTGAAATAAAAAACGTCAATCTCTAGAGGACCGCAATTCCTTAAATTTAACTCCTTATCCATAATTATATGACAATTTGCTGATGAGATATTTGGACCCAAAGTTAACATTGTTCTTATGGGGAAGAAATCCAACATGGCTTCCACTAAGGAAGACTCTTAACCGTGCCACCAGCGGTAATACTGTAACTACTTCCCTATAGGGAAATTCGCTAAAACGCCCAACTTAAATCGTACAGAAAATTACGTTACAATTGTCTTCAACTGATTCATATGGATTATTATAGGAGTATGAGCAAGGCCGCACTAGGAGTCCTTCCGCTTCCCTTCGCGCGTCCGGATTTGTAATTGCCGAAAGGATTATTTAGTGACCCAAAATCTAACCTCACTCGACGTGTTGGCTGCTGTCAGTATTGTTGGTTGCGCTCTCCCCCTCCATGGCTGCGGTGTCCGAGTGGTTAAGGAGTTGGACTTGAAATCCAATGGGTTCTACCCGCACAGGTTCGAATCCTGTCCGCAGCGCAAAACTTTTTACCTCTTGTTTCAACCATTTGGGACCATTACTAGGGTTGCTCGGAAATTATTTTATTTCGTTTAGTCATCGAGCTTGGTTAAAAATATTTTTACAAAAGTGATTTCATTTTAAATCTGAAGCTATTAAATTTTTCTGCAATAAACTCATGAACAAATAAAACTTAAATTAGATGTGTTGCGTAGCCGAACATTGTATTGCATTGTTTGTATTTTTTTTTATAAACTCCCTATAGGGAAGTAGCTACGTTAACGTACTACCATGGTCAATTGTTACTTATGGTTCAGCATTTTGTAATTTTTCGTTTCAGGGTCTCAAAACTGTTGATAAAATTTGTACTAAAAAGTTGTTGATGCATAAAATAAGTACACAATCTAATGTTCTACCGCTTGTTACTTAAAAAAAAAACTTTATCAAGTTGCATTTATTTATTTTTTGCGCCTTAAGAAATTTTATTTTTAGGAGGACCGTCCAAATTAAAATCCTAATCTTGTTACTGTACTATACAACATTGACTTTTAAATTCAACATTCAATATAGCATTAATTTTGTTATTCCGATGAGGATGAGGCAATGACAATTATTAACTGTATCATTTGTGTCTAGATCCAGAATCGTCCCAACTTTTGATCAAATCAGTACCTTCAGATTTGAAAGACACCTAAATTCGTAGAGGCGACAAATATATTGTATAGGTATTAAATAGTTTTAGTATATTGTCTTTCTTGTTATATTATTAACTGCCCTCAATTATACAACTTAAGAACATTTCTTTTTTATATTATTATAGGGCTGTAAAAATCAATAAAACCCAAAAAGTTTGTTCTCCTTGGAGCCGTAATTATTCATTGGGCCAACTAAGACTCATTTGACGAGGATTTTTATTCGTCGAATAGATTAAAGATTTTCGTAAAAGTGCAAAGTAGAATCATAGATTAAACATACTCTGTTTAATCTATGGTAGAATTAATTGTAGCTCTACATAAAAATTAGTAGTAAAGTTAGTCAACAATTGTTTTTATCTTCAATAATATACCCACTACATGCATTTCACAGTTTGAATGTTGTTAAACATGCATTCCGTTTTTAAACAATTCGTAAGTTAATTAATTATACGAAACCGAAACGTCTCGCGCATACTAACAGGCGGCAAGTCTGAGGTCGGCAAAGCAGTTCACAACTGCACTGTGCTGCTAGTGGAGCGCGGCGGACAATAATAGAAGCTGGCCAACGCAGTAGATCTACAGTAGGTATTCTCCGACTCCCCTTGGCCTTCCCATGTTGCTCAGCAGCGTTGAAATAAAATCATATCCGATAAATAATCAAACTTATGATTTTTGATTGAGTAATACAGTATCTTGAAGCAAAGTGATTCAAACGATCGATAGCTCAAATTAAAGCCTATAATTTACTAATAATCTTTGTCTAAACATACAAAAAACATAAACAATACTGGAGCTATTGATTTTTTAATCATAGAACCCCTTTAAAAAAAATAGTTTTTTTTGGTCGTTCACCTTACGTTTGCTTGAAACTTGTCCGATTTGAATACCTAATAGCTTAAATGAATGCCGGAATTTCACTGAAGGTTCTTTAGACCAAAATATACAGTATTACAGTATATGATTACAACTGGTGAAATACATCTTAAATTGAAGTAAGAATTCGAAAA